AAATCCTAATAAATAAAGTGTACTAACAGGGATAAAATTGCATCTTTATTTTTGAGGAGAGGATATTAGTTATAATGGTGCTATCTGAACAATAATCAGTTATTTGTATGCTTGCTTCTTAAATTCAGATGGCTACTATACATATGAAACTTCAGGGAATTATATGGAGAAGCACATTCACACTCAGGATGCTCTATTTTCATTTTCTTTTGCAACTGTCTGCACAGTCTTGGGGAGGGGGCAAAAAGTAGGCAGAACCTTGGAATACGATGAATCTAGTGATATGATAGATGGCATTTTCTCCTGTTTATGCTTATGTACCAGGCATTACTTTAAGAGAGATAGAAAAAAATAATCATTACAGCATACAAAATACAATACCAGATTCTTACCTCATAATGTTGGAAATATCTTCAGCATGGGAATCACTGCACAAAGGGTTGGCTATAATCAGGCATGCCTCTGCAGATTCCACCTACCCTTCAAGATTGGACAGGAGCCATGGTGTTAATTATGTGGGAAATGCTCTGGTCTTCCCCTTTTGGGTTTTCTTAGAATTTTGTAATAAAATTGCTAACAAAAAAGGGGACACACTTGGGAATGAGTTGTAATGAGGATGTCTTTTACATCAGGATTGCTGTCCTGCAAATGCCGCAAAAGGCAAGGGTTGCAGCTGATGGGCCAGGGCACAGGGTCTCTGACATAGGTAAAAGATTGCTTTCAAGTGGGTAAAATACAAAGTTATATTTTTCCTACCATCCATCATCATTGTTTGATGCCTAGTGATAAGCCATAAGACCTTTATAAGCAACTGCCTGTGTATTTATTTGTCTTTCAGGACAGTAAAGAACAGAGGAACTGGGAGTCCACTTGGCTCAAAGTAAACAGTTACTCAATATTGGTGGCGTGTGAATTTCAAAGTTCTAGAAAATTACTGAAGTGGCTCTTACAGTACTAAATTGCAGGAAAGAGAAAGATTTTTCTGGGTCTGTCAATTCTTCATGTTTACTCTATAGATCTTGGCTTTAAACAGAAACTTTTCTGTTTGTTGATTCTCCGAGACTAAGAACATGACAGGAAGCTGCCTTTGATCTTAAGCCAAACCTGTCTAGAGGGTTGGCTGTTGCTCATTATTTTTAGTCACAACTTTAATGAGATTTCTACTATTTTTCTTTATGTTTTTCCTATTGGAAAGCATATTCATCCATTTAGGAGGAGAAGTTGATTAAAGCTGACAGACTCAGAGATCTGCCTTCTGGTAAGAATTCTATTTGTGTGGTAAGATCAAACACACCTTGCTATCCATACCTTTTACAGACCTCTTAGGCTGATAAAATAAAACTGATTTAGATAGAGAATTTTGTGAAATAAATAATTTAAATATAAGTGTTGGCAAACAGTGAGGTCTGCTTGACATTTGTGAAATCAGATTTGGAGGTCAATTACTACACTTCCTTTACAATTGTTTCTAAAGCTGAGGAAGTTATATTTTCCTCCAGTTAAAGAAGCTGAAATAATATCTTTTCCAAAAGCAATATATCTTGTAATTTTAATTGTTGCAACTTAGGAAAACTACAAGGAACTAAAACAACTAGATCTTACCGCAACTCGCCTCAGATCCTCCCACTTCATTGCAGATCCAGAAATGAATGTTGTGTAGGCCAAGTAGCATTTAAATATGGTTTCAAGTTCCAAAGAAGGAGGGCTCCTTGACAAAAAAGAATGTGGCAGCAATGAGGTAAAAAAGATGACTGATTCTGCGTTTAGAGGTTTTTATAACTTATTTGGTGCATTTAGTAGAATCCCTCATAGTGATATGAAAAAATACAAATCAAGTTAATGCTATTTTTTTAAAAAATGTAATTACTAAGGATGGAGAGGTTCACTATTTAGTTTAAAAAAATTGAATTACTGAAACAGGCATAACATTTTAAACAACTATACATTTAATAAAATGGCTTTTAAATATAGGAAGCAAATATGAAAAAAACTAGAAAGAGAA